ATTAAGTAATTGGACTTATGGCATCTAAATAAAGTGTGAGTTGGATTATATGTGTAGAGACCAGATTCCTTTATAATTGTATTTCATGGTGGGCGAAATACATATAAAAATTATATATAGAGAGAGTTATGGTCTTCAATTCGTATACAATTTTTTATTCTCTGTGTTATTTCATCAACATAAGAATTAATAGAGAAAGCATATTGAAAAGAAAAATTTTGAACCCGCAATCAAAAATAAACAATATACAATCAAGAATCAAGAAGAAAGATTCCTGATTTTAAGAATTCATAATCAATAATATGGATCAAGAAGCCAGAATCAAGATCGTGTAATAGAAATATCGTTTTCCCAATGAATTAAGGTGTGTTCCACACCTTATAATTTCTTGATAATTTGACATGGACGATCTTCATAATAAAGTAATTATGTTTTAATGTTCTTAAGATTTAAAATTCTATAAAATCTCAACATATCCTACAAAGCACCACATGTATGCTGTTTTGCAGCACAAAATAGAATTATACACACACCTTTCACAGTTACATTTTCAAAAAATCAATAAGTTGGATGAAAATGTTTCTACTCAACTCTATATGTGAAATACAACAAGAATACTTCATAGCACCACTGAGTGTTGTTTTTCAGTATATTGAGCTTGCAAAGAAGACAGATGAAGTGGACTAGCACTCTAAAATAAAGAGGGAGTCCTGATTTGTTGTGTGTTCCTATGAGATGGGCAATTTTTGTTATTTTGGTAAAGCATAAAATGGCAAAACAAAAGATTCTGATCAAGAACATTCACAACACCTTGACCCTATGGGTTACATATTATGTTGGTTAGTGTTTGGTGGAGTGGTTATGTAGTAAGTTACGAGATAGAAGATTCAGATCAATTTTTGTTGAGAAATTGAAATCTGCTCCAAGATCACCGGTGTGGAGGTGATGGTGGTGCGGTAAATTTTGGCAAGAAAATGAAGTTTGTGAGTGGATGGAGATAAGGTAGGGGTGGCGGTGCATATATCACTTTTATTTTTTGATTAAATTATTAAAATTGTAGTATTTGCAAATATCTAAAATTACCATTTTACCCTTTAAATGTTGGTCAAATTATCATCCAATTCAAATTGTTAGGTCAACTAACAATCAAATGCCTCCATTTGTACTTCTGCTGCATCGAAATGAAAGGTTTAAGACCATGGTTGACACAAATGAAATGTTTGTGTAAAATTTGCAAGAAAATGAAAGATTTGAAATCGTAGCTACAATTATCACTAGAATTTATATGATTTTTTTTATTTTTTAAAGAATATGATATACGCTCTAAATTAGAGAAGAAACACAATAGCATGTATTTAATACCATGTATGCTTTTATGACCAATAAGGATAAATAAATGAATGCATAATTGCTTCTTCAATGTGCGAGACCCCAATGTTTATTTAACCTTATACATAACCCTTATAAACTTTTGACTATTTCTCGAAATTTATTTCAGTGTTACTACTTTAGCCTGTTACCAATAAATATGATTGACTCGATTTAATGGAACATGTATAGGATATTAGCTAATTTAAAATTGAAGAATTCGAGTAGGAAAATTAAAAATAAATAAATAAATTTAAACAACATTTCTATTGTATTCACTGACTAGACATTTGTGTTAACCATTTAGAGTTTAAAATATAAACGTGAATTCAAGATGAAAATGTAAAGTTTAAGTATGTTTTATAAATGTTCAAGGGGTCGAAAATACTCGAATTAGTGCTAGAAAATGATTTTGGGTTATAGGAAGATGTAGCGATGTCAAACGAGCCGCTTGGCTCATGGGCGGCTTGGGCTCATCAAATGACGAGCCTGAGCATGAGCCGAGCAAGGGCGGGATCAACGAGCTGAGCGAGTGGCCCTCGAGCCAAAAGTTTACAAGTCCACGTGGACTCATAAAGACTGTAAAGAAAAAGTTTGAAAAAAAAAAATTCGAGCTCACGAGCCAAGCTCTTGAGCAAGAGCCAAGCTTGAGATCGGCTCATGATTAACGAGCCACGAGCTCGGCTCATGACGAGCATGAGCACGAGCCGAGCTCGTGTCTCGGCTCGATCCATTGCCACATCTAAGAAGATGTGATGTTCCTCTAATAAAGTTATTATATATTCTTAATAAGTTTATAGTACTGTGAGCTCTAATATTTACTAATTATCGTACAATCTATTTGTCATATGAATCTTTCTGAGATAGATATTGAGAATGATCTAATGTGTAAAATTAGTTATTAGGTATGGTTCGATTCAAGCGGATCATGTGAGGGGGAGATCTTCGAAAACCCATCATGGGCTGCACATGTGGGGTGTCCCAACCCGCAAGTCATTGAAGTGGGTTGAAAGGAATGGTTTGAAATTAGAATTCAAACCTATACTGTAACTTCTCTCAACCCATCAACTCCCAAGAACTTCCATCAATGGCGGATCCAGTACTCGGTGAGGGGGTGCACCCGCACGTGTTGGAGTTGTTGAAGTGAATTTTACAGAGGAGGTCTAGTCCGTTTGGAGGAAACAGCTACCGTCGCGGATGAACTCGAAAGGAAGAAGAATTATGTAATTGTGTTGGGCCATTTTTTATTTCTTTTTTAATAAAATATTGGGCTCTTCACATTGGACCAAATGTTTTATTTTTTATTTTTTTTTAAGTGGCTGAATAGAAACTATACAAAACAAATATACATTTAAAACAATTGTAATTAGTTTCAACCGTAAATCTAATCTGCCCCTGCTGTCCAAACCAGATTCCCGCTCTAGGCCCTAGTTGCAGCCTGCCTCCAGACATCAGACTCGGCCTCCAGTCTTCTCCCTCAAGCCGCCTGTCCTCCGACCAATCTCTTCTTCGGTTATTTGTAATTTTTTTGGTTTTTACTGTTTAAATGTTGTTTTAGGTATTTTATGATTTATAGATTTATGAATTTTGAGTTATTTAAGATTTTGAGAATAAGTGATGTTAAAAATTAATAGGAGTGTACTGTGATTTTTGAAAATGGAAAATGATAAATTTGGGAATTTATGATTTGTGATAAATTGGTGTTAAAAATTGGAAATTGAAACTTGAATCATATTTTAAAATTATGTGGAGAAAGAGTTTTTCAAAAAGATGAGAATGAGACAATCTTGCAAGGATTGCAAGGATTTCAAAATATGAGACCCCGGAGAATGCAAATCACAGAGTGATGTTGTATTATATAATTTATATTTTTTATTTTTAATTGTATTAAATTATATTTTCATATAAATGTATAATTTTTACGTTTTAATGCCTTTATATAAAGATAGAAGAATTTTTAACATTATTTAATTTAGTATTAATAACATCGCCATTATAGTCGTTGACTATCGATGGTCAACAGTCAACGATCACCCTAGTTCAGCTAAAATTTTGGATTCGCCCCCAACTTCCATTAACCTGTCTTGCACAAAACATGAGAGAAAAATGTTGGCTTTTCGTGTTGGAAAATACATCAAAATTGAAGAGGAACTGGAATCATATTTTTTCAAGAAAACTCACAGATCTTGACACTTTGATCATGAATAATGATCTCTTTCAATTGTGATCGAGATTGAGACCATAAGAGTACAAACAGTGAAGATTTTGGGACATCGAATATCAAGGTGATTAAACATAAAGATCTTGGAAATTCTCCTTTTCAAGTCAGAATTCTTTAACCGAAATTACAGGAAACTACACTGGCCATTCTTTTTCCTATCGAGTCCTTGAGAAGCGAAAGCCTTAAGATGACGAGCAATGCATCTGCGACCATGTTTGTATTATCGACTCAAATAAACATGTTATTATGAAATCAGGATCTGTTTAGCCACTGATCATTCTCGTGCAAGAAGGGCATCCATTGGCAGTAAAGGATGCTGCTACAGCAATTTTAAGTTTATGCATCTATTTGGAAAATAGGGTCAGGGCTATGTCTTTAGGGGTAGACGGGTAGTCGCTGTAGTCAAAAAGAAGCAGAGGGAGATCTGGGCAGTTGACTATGTATCGTTGCACAAGCAGGAACTTCGCGAGCTGAAAGGAAAGTAATGGCATTCTTGAGAGGCTGAATATATTTGCTTTTATTTCAAACAATGCTTAAAATTGATAATTCTCAAAGCTCTGTACATATTTGGCTCCCATACTAACTCCTTCGTGGTTCAGTCTTCCTGAATTTTTTTATACTTCGGAAAAATATGGATAGAACGGTTTTTGAGTGGAATTCTTCTTGTCAATTTCAGGCTTCTATATGATTGAAGGTCATTTGTAAACATTCTCACAGAATTTTGCCATTGACAGTTCATTGAAATTTTGAAATTTCAAAATTATACTGATGTTTGAGGAAGCTTGGTCAATTTGTAAATATATTCAACAAGACAACTCGACCGATGGAAATATAAGACTATTCTACCTAAATTAACTGCATTGATATCATGATAAATTCAATTCAGTCGTCGTATCAATAAACAGAGATGCCATTAGAAGTTCATGTTACCTGATCAAAATCACTATCCTGATAGTCATACTGAATGCATCCACAAGATTTGCGAATATACAAAAATGAACATCCATTCAATATGATTTCTTGCATTCGAAATCATGTTGCACAAGGGGGAACAATGCACCGGGAAAAGAATCCCAACTTTTTCTTCTGCATTAAAGCAAATAGGCAAATAATTAAGAGGATATGATCATTGATTTTGCGTCTGCTTATATAATTCACTTATATGGTAAACTCAGTAGGGATGGACACAAAATAGATAGGACTTACGCGCTTGGTCTTGTGAAGAAGATCGGGAGGAATTTTGTAAAGATCTTCGTCAACTGGTTTTGCAGAAGTAATGGATTGTCGAGGGATAAATTCTGCAGACTTCATAATATGCTTCTGAGACAAAGGCCGACTTCTCTGCTGCTCGATTGCCTCCCGCGCCTTAACTTGCTTTCTCTTTTCCATGATATCTGCATAGCGCTTGGTATTTCCCCTTGTCTGCAATGTTATGCATTTTTAGTAGCTTTCAGAAATACATAGTTCAACGAAGATTCAGTTATTTTCCATTCTACTTGTCAGCAAAAGGTACAAAATGACGCGTAATATCATGGAATTTGCTGGTTGTACACCGAGCTTGCCCTCTCACAAAAGAGAGGGGGCCACATTGAATAAAAAAATCACAGGCCCCCCTCACAACAAGCTCGGTGTATGAGTAGCAAGACCCTAATTTCATCCATCTTAGTTGGAATGGAAAATGGTCCGCTGCATCAACTCCAAGAAAGTTATCATCATACTCAAACTGAAGATTTGAGAAGCTACGTCTAATTTTCAGTGTCAAAGAGAGAACGTAATTTTCTTATCTACGGATGTACCTCAGGAATCAGAATGTTTAACCACAAATTTTACAACAGAAACAGAAGAATACTTGCTGAAAAGTCGAACATACATAGATGGATTTTACAGGGGATGGAAGTGCGTCGTAAAATTACCGAAAAATGCCGCAATTTCATGTCAAAAGATTCAACACAATATATTACATATACTAAATTCTTGGCGGTCTGAGCTTGGGTAAAGAAGTAGGTTGACAGCATTAGTTAGGAAATATTCTGATTCTCAACAGTATTTTAAAGAGACTATTAGCAAGATCATCACTATTTTAAAGAATCACTACTCAAAAATAACCTCAAAAAAGACTTTATACCAACTTTTTAAAATAAAGAATAGATTTAACTCTCGAACAAGGAGAGTAAACAAGCTAAAGGCCAATACAATGCAAAAAAAATTTGTCCTCCAAATTTGGAGAGTCAAAGTCAATATCTATTTTTACTTTATAATAATTGTATTTTAATAAGTTACATATTCCAATATTCTATCTTTTTAATTATTCAAATTATATTTGAATTGATTGATCATTTAATATATATAAAATATATATTAAATAAAATAGGAGAAAAAAAATCAATAAGCCCCTAGCAATTTTTCACCTAAAAAAATCAATTTTTTGATCGTTATTTTATTATTTCAACCGTTATTTTTGACTTCCTCAATCACATGTGAAAAATATTTTTCTCTCTAATCGTCAAAAAATCAATTCTCGTAATCAATACGGAACATGCCTTAAATATTTTTTTAAACAAAAAGCAAAAATGAAGATTCACATTATTGAAGAGTATGAAAAATTTTACCCTCTAAATATGAAATATATCTTTATTATATATAGAATACTCTTTATAAATAAATAAAATCTTTTTAATATCCTTTAAGTCAATTATAAATCCACCATTATCTTGATTCTCCAAAATGACTAAATCCAATGATATCATCAGCCGACAATCAAGACTTAAATACAAGCATCCTTAGCATGTGTTAGATCTTGATAAAGTAAGGAATCTTATATGCTATAGACAGGAAATATGTTGGGTAGAAAGACCTTTCGTGGAGGAACACCATAAACAGCCCGAAACGGAGGTTTCTCATACTCAGCAGAGTAAAGATCAGTGGCGGCGCAGCCCCAAGAACCACCATACGAAATGCATTCCGCCGAACAGCTGCACCGCCTCAGCCCCGCCTGCCTTGCACACTCGAAATACTGAGTAATTGGAAGCTCATTCGCCTTGTCCCAGTCACCAAATGCCGGAATCTGTCCACTCTTCCAGCTGTATTCCTGAAATCCACAACCCATCAAACAATAAGTTCATTTTAACACTAATTCCTGGACAGAAAATGTAGAATCCCAGAAAAAAGATTCAAGATTTAGAAAGTAAACTTACTACACCCATAATTTTAGAGTTTTCAGCAGAAGAGAACTGAAAATTGAACTCTTTATGCTCAAGAAAAGTAGAATCCTAAAAATTGTCTAAACGTTACAGAGCTAATAAGTAGAAAGTACTGTGTTGTGAAGAAAAATGAAAAGGAACAGAAGTCTTTTGGAGTTGTGTGGAACGTGGACTTTTGCACAAGAGTCCAAGAGAAAACTCTGTGGTCTGTGCCAATGCTGATAAAGAAAACTTTCTGTCCTTGATTTCCGCTGCTGAGTATGGCCCTCTAATTTCCAACTCTTTACGACTCCGTTTGGCCCCATTAATTCTTATTTCGTTACATTTTATTTTTTTCTTTCATATTTTTAACTATATAATTTTTTATAAAATAATATTACACGTAAAAAAAAATTTCTTTTTTTACTTTTTATTTTTCAAAAAAATACTATTTCACCCGTGAGATGGGAGCCAAACGGGGGCTACATTTGGGAGCCTAATTGATTTGGAGTTTCCCGCTGTCTTTTCAACTGTAGGTTGAACATGTTTAGTCGCACTTTCCATCTGTTATTATTTATTTATTTATTTATTTATTATTATTATTATTATTTATTTATTTTTTTTGTCTTTTATAAGGGCCAAATCAGAAATGTTCTAGATCGAAACGAACCGCCTTTCTAGCTGTTGGCCCGGCTTTTGTCTTTTTGGGGCCACCAACTTTGACCATGTTTTAGATTTTTTTAGTGAAAATTACGGCTATTCCTAACTGCCAGTCCCTAATTCAAAATTAAGATTTAAAGTTTTTTTATTCAAAAATTAAATTATAATACATTTTTTAAATATTAATAATAAAGTTATAAAATTAAAAAAATCCATAACCACTCTCTCTCTCTCTCTCACATCTCCTTCTAAATCCTCTCTTCAACAACATAATCACTTTCAACGGATTGTGATCAAGTAGTGCGACTATGATGGCATTGTTTCGTCATCATAGGTACTTCTACTGATCGTCCCTTCGATTTCTTCTTGAAGTGGTCTTCATCACCAAAATTTTTGAGGATTTTTGTGTCTACACGTGGCTGTACTACAAGCATCGTCGCACCATCTTGGTAGTTGTGGATGTGGTGACATTGTGGAGGTCCTGGCAATGTTGTGGATTTTTTGTGGTTGTGGTGTGGTGAATTTGTGGAGGTTTGATGGTTGTTTGTTGTCTACTATGGATTTGCGGAGGTTATGGAGGCAGCAACGATTTGGGAACTTTTTGGTGGGGTGGTGGTTTGTGGTATGGTGTAGATGGATGTATAAGAGATGGTGGTTGTGATTTTTTTGTATAAGTAATAGTTGTGGAGGTGGTAGTGGCAACCGTGATGGAGAGATAGGGTGGCTTTGGCAATGATAGTAGTATTGGTTTGGTTTGTGGCAATGGTTGTGATAATTTTGGATCTAATTTTTTGGTGATGTTAGGGTGGTTGTGGTTATTATGTTGGCTGTGATGGTGAAGTGGTAGTGATGTTGGCAATGTTGGTGATGTGGTGGTGGCGCAACTGATTGGGATTGGTATGATGGTTTGTGACCAATTATTTGATTGATTGTATCCAATAATTAATATATAACATAAAAATGTCATCAAAACTTACAATTTATTGAGTTGTAACAGATAAATAACTTGTGGCTTATTAATTTAATAAGTTGTGAACGTGAAATAAATTGTGATTTATAAAATTTGTGATTTATGTATGATAAATAAATCATAACTTATAATATGTTTGATTTGTGG